CATATATTTTTACATCATAAAAATCTTCAGTATTTAATAATCTTTCATTTTCATTAAAATATTTTTCAAATATTGAATCCATTTTTATTTTTATTTTTAGTTGAAAAAAAGATATTAACTTTTTTTTTGAGGGCCCGTTTTCAGTTAAATTATTATTATTATTATAGAAATTTCTATGCGTAAATAATTTGTTCCACAAAGGCCAATTTTTGATGTTTATTTAAATCTTAAATTGTTAAATTATATAACTTTATCTAATGTGTATTTTTATTTTGAACTAACAAATTTTTGACTGATTCCAATCTCTCTCCATTTTGAACCTTTACAAAAAAAATTTTTTCACTAACAAAAGTAGAAAAAACTCTGATAGATTACCAATTGAGTTTTTGGGAATAATATGGCAGAAAGATTATTCCTCCGATTTGTATGGTTATCGAACCTTTACATTTAAATTCTCGACATTTAAGGATAAGTGCAACGTCAAAAAATCCCGCACATGGCTTCTATATTGAACCTAAACTATGTTTGACAGATAATTCTTTTCTTTAATGATTTATAATAAAAGATTATGCTTTTGTGTGTTATTATGTGTTTAATTGCTGTTATTTAATAAAAATTTTTATCATTAAAATGAATTTCTTGCTAATTTTAATTGCTAGTTTAAGAGTAAAAATCAACAGAATTCTAAATACAGATTGGACATATGTGTCAAGATTGGGCGACGAAAATATTTTGGAGTGTGAAAAATATTCGTCAAATGGGACGCATGTGACGAAATATGACGAAAGTGGCAAAAGTATAAAATTCAACGTTATTTAGATTTAATTAAAATAAATTATTTTTTACAAATCACGTTTCTTAATTGGATACTTAATTTTTGTACGTAAAATTTTCGTTGATTCATGAACTAATTCTAATGGATCATAATCTGAATTGTTATTGTCATTATTGTGATTTCCAATTCATATCCTCATCCATTTTGTCATTGTCTTTCAAAAAAAAATTTTTTTTCTCAATCATCATATCGCGAATTCTAAATCATTATCATCATGATCATTGTTATCATCATGATCATTGTTATCATCATGATCATTGTTATCATCATGATCATTGTTAACATCAATATAACCACTGTGATTATCACTTTCATCATCTTCACTTTCACCATAATCCAAATTAACTTCTGCTTTAACCCTTTTCTGATAAAGTCTGGTCTGCATGATTTAATTATTTTTTAATATTGCTTAGATAAAAAGAATCAATATTATTTACAGAATTAATATTTAGATTTTGACAATTCTTCCCATAAAGTTTCCTTAATATAAAAAAATGCGTTCACATCCACCATTATGTGGAACAACCGAGATAATTTAATGCTGATTGTTGTAATTCATGACGACTGAGAAGGAATTGGTAGAATTAGAATTTGACATCATAATCTCATTTTTTTATTGTCAATTTTTTCAATTTCGCCACTTTCGTCAAATTCCTTAATGTTATAATGTAGAAATCCTATTTCGTCACATTATTTTAGTCATGCGACAAAAGGAGCATTTCGTCATCCAACCTTGATATGTACTGTATGTATATAAAAAAATTTTTTTGTCTTCTTAACCTTCTCTCTTATCTTTATCACCAAAGAAAATCTTTTGTTAGTAAAAATAAAAATTTGAAACTTCGTTTACTTCAATATCTTCTATAAACGATGTAGTACAGATAATAGGTCAACCACAGAGTCTATCACATACAGAGTCAGTGATGCTGAATTCAAAACATTTAGATTCAAAGTGTTCAATTATGAAGTCGAAATATTATCAGACTTGTAATAGAATGTGACGAAATAAATGTAATGCAATTTTATCTTTAATTTTTACCATTTATTTGTTTGTATGTTTTTTCAAGGCCACCACTATCATCCAACATACAATTTTGAACGTTCCTTCTAACTTGTCAATATATTAATATATGATCCTCCTATTCCATCAATATTGGGTGTTTTTTCATCACCATCTGAAAGCCAATTGATAATGAAAGCATCCTTTCTTTAAGAAAGGATATTTACAACAGTGTCCCGGGCAAAATGAACATGTAGGCAAAGCCATTGATGATGATGAACGATGGTGAAGAGACCAGCGCCATGATGAAAAAGTTGATGACATGACATTTCCAACAAGTAAATTATTGACTTTTATTTATACGTGTAATATGTACACAACATACATTCACATCTCAGATGTTAAAAGTGATAAGAAAAAATATTTGTGATGATAGTTTCATACACTTGGGATGAAAATGGATTGACGGAAATATATTATTATTGCATCATCTTCAAATAGAAAATGTCCAAGTGAGCAAAACAAACATTTAATAAAAACATTTGATTTAATTATACAGCTCTTTAAACCTTATGTTGAATTTCTGATCACAAAGTATTTATATAATTCTTTGATTTTTGTGAAACAGCGCGGCGACTGTCAATAAGAAAACAACATGTTTTAAATATACGTTCAAAAGATGATGGACACATTTATTGGATGAAACCATGTAAATCCTTCTAAACATATTATACATATATGTAAGTTACGCGATAAGATTCATTTATATTGTATTTCGACGTGCGTGTTATTTAGAAATGCATTGATAACAGGGTTGATAAAGTCGACTAAGACGACCAAGTCGAAGAAGTACAATGGCAGACTTAGTCACCGACGTCCTTCAAAAAAAAAAACAAAAACGGATCTATGATTCAAGAGAAAATACTTGGTTGATATTATTGCGTATCAATTGTATCAACTATTTTTATTTTCTTTCTCCAAAAAACAAATCTACCCATCTATAGAAAAAAATAGTCCAACTATAAGCAACATCAAAATATATTATTAAATCTACTATATACTACTATTTAAATTTTTTTCTTTTCCGAATAAAGCGAAGATGAGAACATCAAAATAATAAATTGTTAAAATGCGTATATAGAATTTACTAAATGTAAGGTTGCATTAATTATTGATGCTGATTATTACCTTTCTATAAATTTATTATAATTTTTTATAAAAGTCAATCTATATCTATTTAAGTTATTAAAAAATGAGCTTCAAAATTTGAAATATCCACTAAAGACAGAATTTAAAAACATTTGCATATAGGAGTATTGTTTTTACCATTTCAATTATAACCGGCAAGATCGCGGAGGAGATCGGATGGTTCTGTGATAATTAATATGCCTTCGGAAGGTAGTATTTTACATAGTAAACATCATGTAAAATGAACCAAAAGCCTTTTTACTAATGATAGTTCAAATTTATTCTATCCCTAAACGGTCAGAATATTCTTTAAATGTAACACAAAATCACGCCCTTACATTCTTATTGGTCAATTTGATGATCAGCAAAATAAAAATAGTCTTATTATTATACAAAAACCACAACACCCGAATTTTTTTAATCAGCTATATCAGAAAATTTTATCGGCTATCAACCATTTAAGGATAATAAATAAATAAATGAGGGAAATATCATTCTATTCATTATACAACTAATTTAATAATTTTTTTTTCTAGAAGATAAAGCAAATCCTAGTGAATATTTTTTTTTTGGTTTTTTACAAGAAAATAAAAAACTGGATTTTTTTTTTGCCGCTCATTTGTTACTATAAACATTCATCCTCTCGCTGATTCTGTCGTCAATTAAATTCTATTTAAAAATCATACTTGATTTCAACGCAAATTTAAAAGCATGATAAGAATATTAGGTCAGATATTGCTTTAAAATAACGGTATAATGTTCCTCAAACCAATCTAATAATAGAATATCGATTTTTCAGTTTCTTTTTTTTTTAGTAAACATTTTTTCATTTATGGGTTTAAGCAAGAATTCAGGTTTCACATGGCGTTGGTATTAATAGTAATAGTATGTACGCAATTTTGTAACACTTTACTTGTATTTAAAGACCAAAGAAAGTTGGTTTTAGCAGAATTTCGGTGATTAACAACAATAGAGAAGATATTCAAATTTTTATTATCGTATTTATTTTAGTTTTAGATTTTTGTTTAGGTTTAGTTAGTTTTAATTAATTAATTGTAATTTTAATCTAATACAACCCGATGAAATCTTAGATTACAAACAATATAAAACCCTAATTTTTTGATAATAATTAAAAACCATTTCGGACAGGTTGATAGATATTTTAAAATCATGTGGGAACTTGAGACTGTTGACCAAGGAAGGCATATTTTAAGGATAGGTGAAAATGCTGCTTCCATTAATAGTTTACTAAAATTGATTCTGGTACTTACTTCGCTATTTGAAGCTATAATACTTCCAGTGTTGCTTTCTCTGGTATGGATATCTATTTACAAAATTAAACAAAGAATGAATAGCAACGATTTTAAATTGTGCATGGTGGCTACGCATGGCTATGTTTTAAGGCTTTTCATGGATTTCTTCCTCAGATATAAAAGATTATCCAAGGGTATGATTGTATTCACCATTGTATTATTTCTAACAACTATGCTAGGGAAAAATATACCAAATATTATGCTCTCTGGGATTATTGAATTGCATAATTTTACCAGCATTGTGCCTTCTAATATTATATTATTTAATAATGATTCGAATTGTATTTACAAATCATGCACTTCTGACTTGACGGGAGAAAACTTTGCATTGGTTGCAAATTCTACTACAATACAAAATATTATGCATAGTGATTATGTGCAAAACACTTATTGGGGTTTAAATAATACATTGTATGCAGTGCGTTCCAAAATTGATGCAGGATCTTGTAGTTTAAGTATAGGAGATGGAGTTGGAGTAATAAGTAGTAATAATCTGGGAAATGAGACAGATACGCCTACAAATACCGGAAAATATACTAGTAGTTATAGTGGTCATACTCCTACAATTAAAAGTGTTGGTCTAATTTCTTATATACTTAATACGTTTTTAAGAGTCAGTTTATCAGATAGATGTGACATATCTATGAATTTGTTTTATATTTCACCCGATTTTTCTCCTGACGTTGTGAAAATGGCCAAGTGGTTATATGATAGTGGGTATACGCATGATCAAAGATTGGATCGTTATTGCACAATACTTATGGAGTGTAATGTCACTATGGAATGGAAACAAATGCAAATATTTGGAAATACACCAGATGATCTAAAAATATCGGATGTGCAATCTAATAATACTATAGAAAAATTGGAAGAATTGATTTCTACCAATGTACAAGACACTGATATCAATGGAAAATGGTTTGGAGAAAGTCTTATTGATAGTGTTGTAGATAAATTGACATCAATGTTAACAACATGGAGGAACGATATCAAATACAAAAGAAGCGAAAGCAGTTACAATTTTTTTGATCAATTTGGTGACACCATATCACAATCGTTGGCATCATCTATACAATCCATGATAAGCACTGTCAGTGTCGATGTTGATAAGAAAGAGATATTTACAGCTCCAGGACTTTGGATAGAGCTTACTGCTCTAATATTTGCAATATTATTGACCTGTTTGATTTCAATGACTGTCTTGACAGCTAGAAATTCAAAAATGTCGTTACCACTTAGTGTGCTGGATTTTGAAATCATATCCAATGCTATTTTTAAAGAGTATAATGATGATGGCAGCTACAATCAAAAAATTTCTTGGCCATTTAATGTGGTTTATTTACAAGATAAATCATATCGTTTGATTTCAACGAATGAATCAGCTGATGATTAATATTTATTGTTCTTTTACAATTCATCAAATTCTCACAGTGTATATATATATATATTTTATAATTTTATTGCGTGTAGTTCAATAAATTAAATTTATTATTAAGCAAAATTTAGTCGAAAGACCTTGGATGCGGTTTTGGTGGAGACAGTTGTCCCATAGATCAAGTTATTAATATTAATAGCATTTTTTTTGTTTGACAATTAAGCATGGAAACAATACGAAACAGTTACAATACCATATTCTAATAAGTCACTTATTGCTAAACCATCATATTTTATTTATTCCAATGGTTCATCTATATAATCACCTCCTATTATTACTCGACGTGAACTATGTTCAAGATGATCGAGTAATGGCGATTGTTCATAATGTTCTTTTGTCTCAAACATACCTTATTCAACTTACAAGAACATTAGACATTTAGAAGATGGACAAAAATATTGATGGTTTCCGCGGTCGGTCCATATCGGGAATTGTTATAATATTAAAATAATCTAAAAATTTGCCTTCTATCAGGTTTACATTGCACCATTCATTCAATCAAATCTCCCAGGCTCTATCTATTCTTCCCTATTTTGGCCATAAACCCCCTTCAATATATTTATCACCCTCAAATGTTGTTCATTATAAACCACATCACCATTACTTTCATAAACTAAGACCACGCACGATCAGTCAGTAGAGTAGTTCTAATCTGAATTACGCAGTAGATTTTACCGATGATGTTGATTTGCTACTGATCTTTGGTATGGATGATAGTGTCTGTCTTTATGGTCATTATCACCATATTGTTGTTGTGATGACTTATTATCCTGTAATGTGACATAAAGTTTATTGGGTTTAAGTTCTTGAATAAAAAAAAAGCACTTAAAAACATTTACAAATTTTATGACTTTTTGTAATGGCTTCTGGTTTATTACGTTGGTTATTACAAACATTGTCCAAAGTTAAATATATAGGATGTTGGCTTGTTATTTTTAAAAACAACGAACAACCTTGGATTTGCGAATAACAAGGAAAACCCCATTTTTTAATTTAATATTTAACACAAAAAAAAAGATTTAACATTTGCCGTGTCACGATCTCCTTCTAAAACTCGCAAGTCGTGCGTACTAACCGCGCCTTTTCGGTTTTTGGCGCGACCAACGTTTTCACCATATTTAGCAAAAATTGTGTCGTACGGCAAATGTTTTGTTTTATAAAACAGATTGCAATTGCATTGAAATTGAGTTGCGTTGAATTGAATTGCAAAGCAATGCGTTGCAATTGTAATTGAAACTGAAAAATCTTTGTTTTTTAAACCTAATTTTTTGTGAAGGAATTTTTTGCTTTCGCTGGTGGTAATTTCAGAAAAAAAAAAATTGATCCATATAATTTTTATTGCAAAGAAAAAAAAATACAAAGAATAATAAAAATTATTCAGTGTCACAACTCTCATCACCGTCGTCGTTCATTCGAGTAGTACGGTTTAATTTATTAGACTATTTCAAATGGTTGCTTCCAATTTCTTAAATTCGAACCATTTGTTAATGTTAATGAAACAATTGTTCGTGAAGTGATTGTTGACAAAATGAAT